CTGTACTACGGCTATCGAAGCGGAGTTCGAGTATTCACCGTCTTCTAGTAGAGTTGACGTGGAATGGATCTATTGCGTTGAATCTCCAGTTATGGATCTTCCGGAGGCTGCATGAGCGGGCATGCTGGCTAATCGATAGTTGCCTGGGTATTCAAGCATGCACTGTACAAAGGGTTGGTATTGCAGAGATAGAATTGATATACAATAGTTTGATAAGGGATTGCATGGTCTATTCTCCCATCTAAGAACGTAATCGCCCTTGCTGATGGAGCTTGATGTCGATACCGCCATCCCTGGATGTATAGGATTAGCTTGGCTTATCGACCACAGGTTGGATAGGACCTGTTCGTGAAGGGCAACCGCCTGATGGACCTAACGTATTAGCGACCGTGATTCTGCTCAATAGTCAATCAATTGCTATTGAAATGCCCTGTAAGAGTTTCCAGAACCAATTATCAAGGGATACAAGCGGTGTGCGATACTTAAGGCTGTATGTCTCCGTATGCAACTTGGTCGATGGAGCATTTCTTACTAAGCCGTGAGGACTTGATGCGACAACCCTAGGTGTGGACGATCACCGCACCGCGCACACATCTTACTCCTATCTCAGATCTCAGCGAAATTTTCTTTACCAGTTCACGTTCAGCGCGGACTGTAGCGTCCATCGCTCGAGGACTTCTATAGGGTACCAGACTCCGGCATTGTTTGGAACCAGACACATGGTCATCGGACGGGAAGTGGCCAGTAATGACTCGACAGGAACGCAGATCGGAATCGGTCCTGGGAATAGTCCCGTCGATCGTCCCCGATCGTGGTTAGAGGGGATTCCTGGGGGTGAGATGAGAGCGATAAAGGTTGGGATGGGGATAGGGGGGGGGAGGATGAGAACTCCTACAGGTATCTGGGTGGAAGGCGATAGTGTGTGGAGGAAGCACGGGAGGCGTGGAAGGGCATTGATCACGTGGGGAGACAGTAACGAAGCGACAAAGATGAAGTTGAAAGAAAAGAAAGGATAAGTCACGGGACAGCGCATCACGGTCGCGTCATGGGGGCGGTTGGAACCGAGGGTCTCTGGGTCAGCTTG